CCTGAGCTAGGGCCAGGCCCCCACATTATACTTTTTGATATTTATAAAGAAATGCAGACTAAAATACATGTTGAAAATTTGAGTTGTTTCATTAAAAAAGGCAAATGAACAACTCTCCTAACTTTTTGCTTGTATGAAAGGACTAAACATGTAGTACCAAAAAGAAAGCCTGTAATAAAATTGAGTAGTAAGAAAAGATGATATTGGTGCTGCAAATTTGAAGGAATGCCTTGATAGTAGTAGAGAAAAGAAAAAAAGAAATAAAGAAACTTCAATTAAAAAGTAAGAAGATGTTGACGTTCAGGGGACCTTAAACTACTTGTGTTATTACCAGTCTCAAAAGATTAGAGTGGACTGTGGGAGCATCATAATAAATTTGAAAACTGCCTGTAGCAGCTGATACTCCCTGATGGAGGATAGAATGTGAGCTTTTGTGGATGAAACTTTTGTAAGTTTTTGGTTTGTATATTGGAATTTGAAAGAGTAGAAGAGTAGAGAACTCCATTAAAACTGCATAGTGGGGAAAGAAAAGGAAGAGCAAAGGAGTCTTTATCTCTGTAATATGGTAACACACTGCTGTGTTTAAAGAAAGTACTGAGAGCTTGATTGTCTATGCATCAAAGATCAGAGGCAGGTGAAGCCTTAAGGAGGTGAGTGTGGATGAATCCATTGATGAGTTCATCATTGAATGGGCTTTTAGGAAGTGGATCCTGGTTGGAGAAAATAAGATATTGGGATATACCTTTGAATGGTTTTGTGTCCCAGTTCCTTGCTCTCTGGCTCTTCTATGCTCTGTTTCTGGCCACCCTGAGGTGAACAACTTTCTTCTGCTGTGCCCCTTCAGCATGATGTCTGCCTTAAGATGGGCCAGCTGTGAGCTGACTAAAACCTCTGAAACTGTGAGCCACAATAAATCCTCCTTTGCATTGTCTGTCAGCTGCTTTGTTCCAGCTATAAAAAAGTGACTAATGTTCTGTCCACAGAGTAAAGCTTTATGTATTTATAGTCTTGGAAGTTCTAGCCCATAGTCAGCTTTATGAGCACAGCAAATTAATGCTTGATTATATGAATATATATATATACATATTCACATATAGAATATATATATATTCATATATAGAATATATATGCTATGTAATGTGAAGAAACAAAATGTGAGAGCATTATGTAGTGGACAGAAATTATGTACAAGTCAGATGTGCATAAGGAAGAAAGGATGTGAAATGCTAATAAAATTTTCCTTTTGAGAAAAAGAAATGACAGTAATATCTTTGAGTTTTAAACTCACAATATTGTTTAGTAAGGAATGTTTTTATTTTAAAATTAAAGAATAAAATATTAGATTGGAGGAGGGCAACATGGAGTTAGCCATGGTTACCTAAATTAGCAACTTTAAGTTACACATAGTGCCAAGCTTATGGCTTTTCTTTATAAGATATACTTTTCTATTACTAATTCTTAGCAACTGTCTTCTTATAGAAATTTATTTTCATATGCTTTGCTGTACCTTTTTTACCCAGAAAATGGGGGTGGAAATGTGTAATGATTCCTTCAGTGTATATAGATTTTGTGAGAGATATATGTAGAGAATACCCTAAAGTGAAGATTTTGAAATTGTAGGTATTGCTTTATTGCTATAGGATAGCACATAGTATCTTTTATGGCAGTGAGTCAGCAGCATATTTATAAAGTTAAATAGTGACTGGTAAAAAAGAAAAGCTGACAGAATGACATCTTTGAGTTTTGGAGGTATATTCTGCTATTTTAGGTTGAGTCTAGAAATTACTCATCAGAATACTAATATATGAGTGTAATCATAGAGATGTGATGTGGTGTTCTGGATCACCTGAAAGGCCCCATCCTTTTTATGTGAAGAGATGGGTATGACCCTTGATCTCTAATGCCACATCTGCTATAAACTTCTGAACCCTCCACCATCATTCAGGATGCATCTCTCTCTAATGGTTGAAGAAGTGGTGGAGGATGCAATGGGGCAGAGCACCTGTGGATCCTTGCCTGGGACAAGTTATGGAAAGAAAACTCTTACAGGTATTCTTATGTACTTTACTTGGATATTAGATAAAATAGTACTTTTTCTGGAAGGACTGGGTAGGATGGGGTGGTTGATGGGAGGATTGGGATGGAGCAGAGATCATTTCCAGGAGTGGTAGAAAAATTAGGAAAGAACATCAGTGTCTTTTTGTTTTTCTTCCACTGCTTTTGCTGTGACTTCTGTAATAAAAGAAGTTGTGTCAGAATTCTTGAACCGTAGACTCATATATTAAGATTCACCAGGAACATTGATAGATACATGATGTTGACTTAATATTACTAACTGTCAGTAACTATGGAAATCTATGAAAAATGTTTAGACCTATGAATTGTATTGAACATTAAAAATTCTGATATATGCTTAAAACTCTTAGTAAACTTGTTGATTATCTTGTTTTTGATTATATTATTTGGCTATTTAACCATTTGACACTGATTTATTTCTGAGGCATAAGGATATCTGACACAGCTGTGCATTTTAATTAAGCAATTATTTAATTTGGGAGCACCTTAAGTTTTAAGTTCCTGATTTTTTTTCTAGGATAGCAGAGATTAGAGTGTCAAGACTCAGGGAATGGCTTCCAAGGGAGCTCCAAATCATTACGGGTTAAAAATGTTGCTGAAAGTTTTTTTTTAACACTGTATGTTAGGGAGTATCTCAGACATTTTCTAGAAGCTCCCTTACTTGAAATTATCAAAATGGTATTTTCCATTGTGTTCCAAATAATTGGTAATTCTATTGTGCTTAGGTGAGAATATGAGGAGTATATATACATAGGTATGCAGAAAGTTTTCTAAAATGCAATTTGAATTGTAATAACCCAGTTAAATGGAAGTGAACAAAGACATGTCAGCACAAAATTGGGCAAAGTGAAGTAAGTGAAATGAATGTACAGGTGGCTTTTTTTTCTATTTTATTTTTTTTCAGTGAAAATAAGAAATGTTGCTTTTCAGAGAGAATTTTGTATTATTTTCTCCTCTTTTTCTCCCCCTACTCTAGCTTGGGAACTAGGAAAAGAGCCATTTTATGTGATCTTGTCTTCCAGTCCAGTTTGAATCAAGAAAAACCTACTGAAGACTCCTTTAAGAACAGTATGTTTTGAAGAAGGAAAGGAAATACTGTTTGAGCGAAGGCAAACAAACCAAAAGGGTGATGGAAACAT